ATTTATATATCTAATACTATTAGCTTCTAAGTTAATAAGGGCTTAGACTATAGTAATAAGTCTACTCTATTTTAATAAGATAGGTATATTAATTTAATGCTTCTAATCCTTAGTTAAGGAGGTAGTCTAAAGGTTAGTAGAGATCTAATATAATATAGGTTCTAGAGAGTAACTTAACTCTAGAATAAGCCTTTTTATAAACTTCTATAGCTATAGCTTTAGTAGAATTATTAGAAAGAGCTATAAGATAAGATAGTTAAGCTAGAACTTCTTTACTAATAAGTTAGAGGAGTAGCGGAGTAGGTAAAGGCAAGAACGCTATTATTTTAGGTATAAAGAAGGAAAATAAAATAGTTATAGGAGATATAGCTATATTTACTATACTTAAAGTATAGTTCTTTCTTTCTATAGTACTTACGCTCCTTTAATTTAGTAGGTGTATAGCTTAAGTCTATTTCTATTATATTAGAATCTCTATAAGGGGGCGAGAAGTATTAAGAGGTAGTTAGAGTAAAGTAGTAAGCTAGAAAGTACCTTAAGTTATTATTATATAAGGTAATTAGGTTAGTATAGTTATTTAGGGATAAGGGGATTAGAATACTAACTATTACTTAGTAAAGGTTATCTAATAGAGAATAGTAAAGCTAGTTAATCTAGGCGCCCTTATTTAAGTTTATATTAGTAATTAAGTATTAGAAGTTAGTAAAGTAGAAGAGAAAACTCTTATTCCCTTACTTTAGGTTATTTAGTTAGCTTTAGGTAATTAGTTTATAGTTTAGGTTACTATAAGTAGCCTAAAGAAATCTAATAAGTTATTCTATAGTATAAATATTCTTTCCTATTAATAGGTTAATAAGAGTAGTAGGGTCTTATTTAAGTTAAGAGTAAGCGTAAATTAATTACGCTTCTTTATTAGAAAATTAGTTAGAGTTTCCTTTAAGCTTATATTAGAGCTTAGTTAGAAAGAGTAGTAGGTTCTTTTTCCTTTCTATAAATAATAGTAGGTTAGGGAGCTTCTTAGATTAGATATTTAAAGTAGCTTAGGTTGTTAGGGGCGTCTATTAGAAGAGAGATAAGCTAGTTTTAGACTTTTAGGTAGTTATAGGCGCTAGTTAAGCCTTAGCCTCTACTATAGCTTTAGGTAGAGAAGAGGCTAACTATTTAACTATAGCTAAATATTCTTTAAATTCTTATTAGAGGGTAGCTATATTATTATAGTATTAGGCCTCTT